CAAACTCAATTTGGAATTTTGCTCGTCAATCAAATCAATAATAATATGAGTCACGTGATAATATTGTTTTATTAAATTCTCGCATCTGTTCAATCAAATTAAATTACACAATACCTACATTCCATACTACCTAGATATTCACGCTTGATGTTAGAGACAAAAACGTGTTTTACTATATTTTTCTATTTTTATTTTTCTAATTAACTAAAAATTAAATTAGGTAATCTTAAACCAAGTTAGAATTGGCTGTCTTGACACGACACTCGCAAAATGAAAAATCACAAGACAAAAAGTTAAAAGAAACACATTTTTAATTAAGTAAATTATTTCACATCACATAATGATGTTTTTTCTTGCGCGCTCATTTTGAACTCAGCGATTCTTTTTTCGATGCTTCGCATTTGAAACAAACTTTTAATGAGTTTTGTTCAACGAGCGACGGGTTATGCCTAGCATTTTGCGTAAATGCAATGTTTCAAAAATATTTAGGTTTTAATTTGAGTGCATAGTTTTCATTTTTGCATGTTTTATAAATTTATAGAATTTAAGAATTACGTGCAATAAAATTTTGTCGGAAAATAAATTTTTTGAATATTCTTAAATGAATAAACATAGTTTTAGTCAAAATTTTGTAATTTATTTCTTAAAAAATTATAATTTTGTTTGTGCGGACATTGTTAAATCTGTAGTGAATTTTTAGATGCAAAATTTATTCCTTTGACTTACTTTGTACGTTAATTAGTTGCGCTTTAAAAATTGTTGAAATCATAATCTCGCGTAGGCATTGCTGGCACTCGCGAACGAAGAAGTCCGTCGGCGGCAGACGGACTCACGCACGTGTTGCTCAAACTACAAAAAACTACGAAACTTCCTTCGGCGCTTCCAAAATTGGTCGATGAGAGAGCACGTAACCAAAACACTAGTTAAGCAACTACACCTTAAAATGTCCTAAATATTAAAGATAATTATTATGAAGCTAAAACTGCGAGCGGAACTACGCGCACTACCATTTACTACGAACGCGATCGCGGCGATGCTCGGGCCATGCTTTACGAGACGCGGCCGCCAGCCGACTGCCGTTGAACTGCTATGCCGCCGCCGCCACCGCTGCCGCCATACCAGCTTACAGGGATGGCGGACGCGATGCGCTTCATGTCAATCAACCGATTGCAAATGGATTATTTGCGCTGTGTCTAGTCAGTCGTGCAGTGATGGATAATCTCTTCAACAGGTTTGTAAATTAGTCGTATGGGCGGCCAGAAGGTTTTAAATCGTTTGTCTCCACTTGTTGCGCTATCAACTTGTATCATTAGTTTATTAACATTTATATATCATTTTATAACTAGTGAAATACTGCTTTACCTGATGTAAAACAATGTTTGTGGCAAAAATGTCAGTTTAATTTTTTTTATCTTTGAATTTTGCAAAAAATACAAGATTTCTATAAATAATTCTTTGAGAATTGCTTGTCTGTCACTAACACTATTATATTGTCATTAAATTTGCCGTTAATTTTATCAGGTAGCCCAGATATCCTAGCCTCAAACAGGAACTTGTTTATTGCAGGCAGCCAGCTGAGTAATTTCTTATTAGCCCAGCGCATCCGCAATATTAAATTCAGTGCATTAAAAGTAATTGCAATAAAGTGCATCGTGTGACAGATTTTGTTTTCATATAGAGTGCTAACCAAACCTGATTATTTTACCGCATGAATTCAATATAAACAAAACAATTTTAATTATTTATTGCGTTTTTATATTAAATTAAACAAAAATTGTGTTTTAAAACATTGAAATTTATCTTATAATAACTTTTATTTGTTGTTTAAACTTTTAATTAATATTTAATAACTTCTTTACTTATTCTAGGGAATATATATTTTAGATTATGATTGCTCGTTACTAAAACTAACATAATTAGATAATATGAGAAATAAAAGTTGATAATATGATATAAAATTATTTGCTGCCGTTAAACGAAATGCGAAATGCGAGCTGCATCGTGTCAGATGCATCAAACAGCGCGCGCTCGCGAAGGAACAATGCCAGCGCCTGCGAAGGTGGCACAGAGGTAATGCAGAACGCATTAATTATCGCTAATTAGGTGCGGTGATGTTATGCTTGCCCGTCGTAACACTAATTAGATCCTGGCAAATATTATCCCAGGGTGCATTGGCTAGACAATAAGCAAGATGCAAGGAAATGCTAAGATGATAAGATTAATGAAGAAATCGAATAACAAGATTAATTTACAAGGAAGACTCCAATCCAATTATATTCAAATATAGTTTCCGGTCCAAAGACGATATGGTAGATAAGTTCATTGCAAGTTCGCTCCACTATTCTTTAAATAATGATTTTTATTGAGTTAACGTAAGTACTCAGTACTGTGGCAGTAAAAAATGCGAAATGATTAGACGAAACATGTCCAAACAACAAAATAACTAACACAAAGCACTATAAAATGGAAATAATTAATTATATCCTTTAAATATGTATAAATTACTTAGGAGAAATAAGTATCTTCCTCTCACAGCTGAACCAGTTCCCTACAGGCGTCCACGACTTGTACCCTTGCGCGCATCACACACTTAACTCCTGCTGACGCGTTTACTAAAACATTTTTTCACGGTTGGCCGCAGGTACAAAAGGCGAGCACGCAGTGCGCACCGCGCTCAGTCGTGCCTGAGTCGATCAGCACTCCAATCGCAGTCCTCTAGGTTCCTGTCGTCAGGCTTATTTGGATAGTGCTCAGCGGATTAAGAGCTTACGGCTAACATAAACTGCGTTAATAATTGGTTTTTGTAATTTTTTATTCTATCCCAATCATTAAAACAAAATTCTTAACACAAATGAATAAAAGTAATAAGTAAAGTAGAACAATAAAATAAGGCATTCATGTTCCATAATTCAGCTAAATCTAGCTTTCCCTATGACTTAATGGACAAATACATCTTCCCTTTGAGCATCTGCTTGACAGGATTGATCTTCTTCAATATTTGCGTCATAATATTTACCAACTGCTCGCTGGAAAGTCCAGTCTTCTTCGATTTGAACTTTTGAAGCAACTCTGTAGTAGTCATTGGCTTCCGCATCAAATACTTACGTACTGCATCTTCAGTTATACCAGATTCACTAAAAATAAACATAATTTTAGTATTTTGTATAATTTAATTAAATTAAAACATACCTTGCTCCAGGAATATAATTAACAACAGGCTCCATCTTAGATTTCTTTTGTGGTAGTCCCGATCCACCTGCAACTGCACCATCCATTTTCCTTTTATTACTCTCAAGCGTGGGACTACCTGATCGAGAACTATTCGGACTATCAACCTCCTTCTCAGGTTTTGGTTTTTCTTCAGCAGGTTTCTCACCTTTGTTCTTTTTCGACTTCTGTGCCGCTTTTTTCTTCGTTACTTCTTCGTCTGTTGAACTGTCTGAACTAAAATCGCTGTTGTCATCCTTTTTATCTTTCTTATCATCTTTCTTCGAATCCTTCTTGCTTTTTTTACTCTTACTCTTAGAAGACTCCTTGGGTTTGTCTTCTTTCTCATCAGACTTCTCTTTGTCTTCATCGTTCTCATCCTTTTCGGACTTATCACTGTCGCTGTCCTCCTCTTCGTCTGAGTTCAACAACTTCTTAAGACCTTTCTCATCTGCTACACCTTCGAGCTTAGAGGTTTCTGGTTCACTATCAGAACTATCAGTGATATAATCTAATTCTCGTCCTTCACCATCGCCATCATCAGAGTCTTCAAATGCTTCACCATCTGTATCACGCTTCTTTTTCTTCTTCTTGACATCCAATTTCTTTCCTTCTTCTTTTTCTTGTCTGCTTTATCCTCATCATCTTGTTTCTCACCATCTTCTTCATCATCTGAGTCATCATCTGATGTTTCCATCCATTCATCCATTTCAGATATTTTCAATTCCTTAGATTTACTTGTCTTTTTACCTTTTCCTTTACCATCCTCACCTTCTCCATCTAAAACTGTGTCATCTTCACCCTTCAGCCGTTTACGCAACATAAGAGAGAAGAAGTTCAAGTGTTGATTCCTCTTGCTAAACTCCTGTTCAGCTTCTTCAGCTGACAAAGCTTTGTATCTTTGAATGGGTTGAAATTTGTACCATTCATTAAGTGGAAATGCTTGTATCACATTATTAGCAGCATGTGTAAATACATAATAAGCAGCATTCTCAGAAACACCACCCTCTCTAATGCCTTTGAATTTCTTCACAGTACTGCCAGATGATTTTAGAATCCATGGCTGATTGTCAGGTTTGTACTTTTTGGGTATTATTCCTAATTTTTTACGTCGAGCTTCCTCCTTTGCTTCTCTACCAAACTCAGAACCTGCACCAAACCTACAAATACACAGTAAATATTAAATTTCTCTTTTAAATGATGGATTTTAGAATTCATACTTTGGATGTTCTTCTTCATGGGTTCCTTTGAACTCTCTCATGTTATTTTCTCTCTCCATTTTCACCTGACTCCATTTATCAAACTCTACCCCAAGGGTAGAATTAAATCTCATTACATGATATTTTTTATTTACATTTTTGGGCACAATGATGGAATATTCTTTAACAGTTGTTCGCTGCAAAAATATATAATTTTGATTTAAAATGTATTATTAAAAGCTTATTGAGAGTACTTACAGGATTAGAATTTGACGACATGTTTAAAAGCTTTACAATACTTATATAAAACAAAAATATGAGAAATTATCTGCTCAAAGAGTGCAATCCAGAGTGTTGGCCAGAGAACAAAATCAGAGGTTATAACTTTTACTGGTGATTGCTTGATTTTTAATTTTATTATGCAAGAACTCTAGTCTTGGCTGTAGTAAAAATAAAAATAGATGAATAATAATTACAAAATAGAGAATATAATTTAAGATATTTTAACTTCTATCTAAAACTAAATATTACTTGTAATAAGTTTAAATTGTAAATATGGTTGCATACCTTCAAAGTGAATCGAAATGTCACAGGTGTTGAGGTTGACATCTGGATGAGTCATTTAAGTCATTTCTCCTGCACTGAATACAAACAATTTTCACTTGTTTAGTTTATTTCTAATTAACAAATAGTTGCACATAATGGAGGTTTTTAATAAATTTGTGTCGCAAGTGAGCAGTTCTGTGAGCAGCGCAGCATCACAATTGTCAGGGGTGCTGCCAGGAAATCCAGTGACTCGCGAATTCGATGCAAATGAACACATTGCATCTGGAGGATCAGGTACATTTAGGTTTTTATTACTCTACTTACGTAGTTGCATTAAATGATTAATAAATACCTTAGCAAAGTTGTAAACTTTATCTTGTGTAAATTACATGGTAAAAATTAGTTAAGTTTTCTTATATATTATATTATAACATTTTCTACAATAATATGTTGTTTTAATTACAAGGATTGCTGTGGAAAATCTACAGAGGAACAAAGAAATCCACCAAACAAGAAGCGTCAATCTTTGTATTTGAAAAACGCCAGCTGGACAAATACAGTAAAACTGACCGTGATATAATCCTGGAAGTATTGAGGCGAGGAGTAACTCAACTAACTAAAATTAGACATCCACAAGTGCTTACTGTTCAACATCCACTGGAGGAAAGCAGGGAAAGTTTAGCGTTTGCTACCGAGCCGGTATTTGCCAGCTTGGCAAATGTTCTTGGTGAAACATACAACATGCCCCAGTCTCACAATATGGCTGATTACAAATTCTATGACATTGAGATTAAATACGGCCTGTTGCAAGTGGGCGAAGGCCTCGCCTTTCTGCACAATGACATGAAACTTCTCCATAAAAATATCTGCCCTGAAACAATCATTATAAACCACCAGGGCGCGTGGAAAATCTTCGGTTTTGATTTTTGCGTGCATAACACAAGTGCGGCGAATGCTCCGCCACATTATCCATTAGATGAGTTCGTACCATCGTTGCCAAATGTTGCACAGCCGACTTTAGATTATCTAGCGCCGGAATGTATCGTGAGTCAGACTCAATCAGCGGCGAGCGACTTGTTTTCGTTGGGAATGGTTGCTTTTGCACTTTATTCACCTAGTCATGTGAGTGTTATGCCTGTAAGGGATATACAACAGTTTCGAGGAAGAGTTGGCCAGCTTAAAAATTTACCGGCATCGAAATTGTCACCTGTGCCGGAAGCTCTCAAAGAATATGTTAAGTTAATGTTGCATGTTACTCCAGAGTTGAGGCCGGATGCACATCAATTTATTAAGGTACGATTTTGTTATAAAATTATTTTTGACAGTACAAAGAAGCAACATTATGTTTATTTATTTTCTAGATTCCATACTTTGAAGATGTTGGTGTAAAAACTCTCAACTACTTGGATTCGCTCTTGCAATGGGATAATTTACAAAAATCACAGTTTTACAAAGGACTCCCTGAATCTTTAGCCAAACTACCCCAAAGAGTGCGTCTTCAACGAGTATTTCCTTGTTTGGTACGTGACTTGACTCAACCTGCGATGGTACCCTTCGTGCTACCGAACATTCTTGACATTGCACAACACTGCAGTCAAAAAGAATTCGTCAAGTATATTCTACCGTTTTTAAAACCCGTGATGAAACTAACAGATCCCGTGCAAATTCTGTTAATTTTCTTGCAACGAATGGAGTTGATGTTGAAGCTGACACCGGCTGAAGATGTACAACAGCATGTTTTACCAATGTTGTACCGTGGTTTGGATGCAGACACACCTCAGATTCATGAACTGTGTTTGTCGATTCTACCTACATTTGCCGGTCTTATAGATCATGCCAATGTTAAGAATCATTTGTTGCCACGTATCAAAAAGTTATGTCTTTCTACGGCAAATCTCTCCGTACGTGTAAATTGTTTATTATGCATTGGCCGTCTGCTGGAACACCTTGACAAGTGGCTGGTACTGGATGAGGTGTTGCCGTTTTTAACACAGATACCATCGAGAGAGCCGGCTGTTTTGATGGGCATCTTAGGTATTTATAAACTTGCGTTAAATCATAAAAAGCTGGGTATTAGTAAGGAAGTAATGGCGACGCGTGTTCTACCATTTTTGATGCCTTTATGCATAGAAAATGGATTGAATTTATCACAGTTTAATGCTTTGGTGGCATTGGTGAAGCAAATGTTTAGTTTAGTTGAGACTGAACATCGTACGAAATTAGAACAGTTAAATTCCGTCCAGCAAGAGCGAAAACTTTGAGGCTACCATGCCCGAGGTGGCATCACCTACGAGTACCAATGGCGTGCAACTTCATTCCGCATTTAATGGTCTTGGTTTAGATAACTTTATGTCATCTTCAACTACCTCACCTTCTTTATCACTTCAAGACAAACAAAAATTGTCGCAGCAACAGGAAACGATGAAAGTGTTGCAGAATCAGTCACCGTTGGATCCAGCGCCAGTATCGAATGTTTCCAGAGTTGTGCAACCTAAAGATTTAACTCAAGAATTGCCCAAGAATATCATTCCACAGATTTCAAGCCCGCCACAGTCAAAAACGCCATTGAATTCAATGAATTCGCTAAATTCGTTAAGTTCTCTCAGTATGATTGGTAATGATTTAATATCAAAGCCTGCAATTCCCACATCAATGACATTCCCGACAGCAATGAACATGCAGTCACCGCAATCGTTAAAAATGCAACCTGTGATGGGCATAAATTCCATGCAGAACACAAACGGAAGCAACTGGAATAAAGCACCAGCACCCATGTGGCAGTCTCCAGCCCAAAACATGTCTAATTCACAAAGTATGCAATGGGCAAGTCCTACTCCTATGAATGGACAGAGTAAAAACTGGAGTGCTCTTGATAATCTGTTACCAAATTCAGTAAATGCGCCTGCGATGGGCGGTCGAACGCCAATGAATCAAATGATGTCCAATCAGCCCTTGATTCAATCGCCTCCGAATAACACAAATAAAAGCAACGCGTTGAGTAAAGACGATATCATGGATCTGCTTAGTTGAATAATGTTCATGTATTATAACTTTCGTGTTTGTATCGCTTAAATTTTACATTTTGACGAAACCGGTTGAGAAATGTTTGCAATGTGATGCGTCGTTGAAGTATTGAGCATTTGTGATGTGAACTGATCAGTGTTCATTAATTGTTGACTATTTATTATGATAATAGGGAAGAATTAGTTCGGTGCGGCGCGCTTGTACTGAATATTTTTGAATTTATCCATGAAATTATGCTATTATACAACATTGTAATTATGTAATTAAATTATAGAGTAGCTTTTGAAGAAACTGTAACATTCGAAATGAAATTCAAACATTCTTTTCTCATTAATATTGCAAGTTTTGGTGTAAAATACAAAGTGAAATATTGACTGTTGTATGTGACTGTAGTACTATTGGTTGCCTACGTTAGATACCTGCAACTTATTTTATTTGACTTAAGTAATGGTTACTTATACACATTCGCTCAGTACACATGGCTATGTTTATGTTTTGTTTTGCATATGTAGGAGCTAGGTGCTTGAGCCAGTTTGAAATAACTCGCTTGGCTCAACTCAGTCGAGCACGAGAACACCGAGTGGTTTGGCACTTATCAAACAAAAACCGTCTCAATGAGAGTTGTATCATCCCATCAATAATTATAAGTTTCACTCGCTTAGTGCCGTCGCTCGCTCGACCGGTATCAGTTTGAGTGTGTAACCGACGAGTCGCGGGGTCTAGGCCGGTCACAAAGAAAGTCGTGCGTTCCACATACACCACATCCAAACTTAAGTCACATGGACTTGACTTGACTCACTTGACTCCACTTTCGTGTCGTGTGGAGTTGATGCAGTTGTGCGCTTACCACACCATCATCGAAAACAAACGACCCGTCAACAATAAAAATAAAATTATCAAAATGTTTTTAATTTATTTATAGTTATGGTGCGGAACGTGTCGGTGTGCTGCTTAGCGTCCTCGACAGTGCGTGTTGTGAACAATAATACAATGTATTTGTGATAAATGAGTAAACTAAAGTTAATTCTGAGTCAGATAAAATGCGTGATAACCGAAGTGCAATGTGGGATGATTAACACATCAGAATTAATTCAAGTTATAACAGACACTGCACGCAATTAACGTTCAATAAAAAGAATATTTTGAGGTGTAATTCAATCAATTTCTCACAGGTGGGGACATCAATACTGAACGTGATATAAATAGACAAAGGTAAGTGGCATATGAGATCGTCATACGGTATTTTGTACAACACAATAATTACTATGACAATTTGCACAGTTTACATGTAGTGTTTCCGATATCTAAAACAAAATTCAGCACATATATTATGCATTCGTGTTTTATCTTCGCATTCCACACATTTGGATGGTAATTTATGCATACAACATGCTTTCTAACTATGTATATTTTTTAAAAATTTGTTTGTTAAAAGTCAAGTTTTGGAGAGTCCTCTGTTGGTTTTAATATAAGAGTTGTACTTGTTGAAATGTAACTAATGACGATACACATTAATATATACTTCCGAGATAATAAACTGCGTCCGGTTGTTTATTGTGCGGTATGCATACAAATTAGTTAAATTATTATTTGCGCCCATCGTGTTTACCATGCTTAAATCTTTAATATTATTCATAATCGAAATTATGCGTAACCGTTTTCATTGTGAAAGTAAATTGTTTTTGTATAAAGATCCGTTTTTACAATAATATTGATGATTTATACTTCGAATAAAATTGACCTTGTTTAACATTGTTTAACTTGTCTTGTGGTAGTCATCCACGGGTAAGCAACGCTTTAAATCATATTAGAAATTGTTGTGTACGTTATTAGATATGTGGTCGCCTTGAAATCTTTCTCTCTAGTTCGCAAACATGTAATTTTACTGATTAATAGTATGCCTCACTTTAATATAAGTACTTCAGTTGTTTGCGCGCAAACAGAACTCCAATTATATTTATCAGTCTATGTTAGTTAATCATTTTGCAAACAATATATTGCCATAATCTCTGTACTTGTTATGCTACAATCTATAAGTTATTTCGATTGTAATTTTTATTGTAATTTTGATATAACCTATCATAAAACTATTCATGGTGACAAACAGAAATAATAATATAAAAAAACTAAATTCAGCTTTTTTAAAAGTTTTATTGGTCATTTACTCGTAAAAATCGAATATACAACGATTCTAGTGCATTTTATGAGCCCAGACATACAATGGCCTTCAGGTAGAAATTGTTCCCCTAATTTGAACCGTACTTTAAAGTTGGTTGCACCTTTCTCTACCAAAATAAAATAGGGATGCCCTTCATATCGGTTTACAACCTTTATTCCCTTTGTTATCCCTCTACTCACTTTTTATATAGTAAATTTACGGTCAGTATGTGTGGAACGTTATCCATAAATAGACGTTTAAATATGCGTGTTTAATAAACATTAAAAATATTTATAACAAAGTGAGTTATTATAGTGTTTACACATGGACACATTACATTCCACACGACATCTTTAGGTTTAAAGGTTGAAAGTGTAAAAAAAACGTTTTTTTCAGTGGAACACAATGGATCTCTGGAAGAAAGCGAAGAAATGGTATGATTCCAAACAAACTCCCAAAGACAGTTCAAAGAACAACACTCCGCCATCGGGATGGATTGACGATGGTTTGGAAACCGATGCCGAGTACAAAGAACGATGGTTTTCCATTTATATTATTTATTTCACCATGTTTCTGATATCGCTCGGTTTCGGTATTATTCTGACCGGTGTCTGGCCATATTTAGATAGAGTGAGTTATAATTTAAACTATTTATTTTACACGGATCTATGAGGTTTATTTATTCTAGCTTGATCCTACCGCGGGAAAAGAGTTTATGGGTTACGTGGTAGCAGCGAATCCGTTTGCCCAAATGTTGCTTTCACCCTTGTTTGGCTGGTGGAGCAACAAACTGGGTTCCATAAGACTGCCTGTCATGTCGTCCCTGGCGGTTTTTACTATTGCCAGCGCTATGTATTCGTCTCTAGAAGTAGTTGCAGATCATCGAAAATATTGGATGTTGTTTACTAGATTATTGGTTGGGGTCAGTTCAGGTATGGTTCAGACCAATGTATTTCTTGATTAAATTATTGATTGATTTAATTTACAGCTTGTATAGCACCATGTCGATCTTACGTCTCTGCTGCAACAAGATTTACAGAACGAACCAAAGCAGTCTCTATGATCTCCTTAGCTCAAGTATTGGGCTTTGTTATAGGCCCGGCGATCCAAACTAGTGTTGTACCTCTTGGTAACCATGGTTTCTGGCTGATTAAGAACTTTATTAAGCTAGACATGTACACTGCCTGCGGTTGGATCAACGTTGTGATGTCCATCTTCAATTTTTGCCTCTTTATGCCCAGATTCTTTAAGGAACGTCGCATTGCAACGAAAGAAGCTATGTTGAAACAGGGTGTCAGCACTGAAAAGACACATATGATGCTCCGGATTATTTGTCAGCGTGGACTCTAATCATCGCTTTCTTTGTTCTCGTATTCAATTTTATGTTACTGGAAACTCTTGGAACCTCCTTGACGATGGATCAATTTGCGTGGACGAAAAGCGAGTCTTTAAAATATATGGGTATTATGATGTTTATTGGCGGGATTATTTCTATTATTTGCTTCATGATGATATCGCCACTTACTGGAAGTTCCCAGAACATAAAGTTATGATCTGGTGCGGGTTCTTCTTCATGGTAGTGGGACGCCTCGTGCATATTCCAATGGGGGATGCTCCACCTGTGATCTATGATGATTCTTTAAGAGTTCTAAATCAATGTGATAATACAACATTTTTGCCAATTGTTAATGAGACATATGTAGACACCACATTAGATTATTTGAATGTGACTACAGTTCCTCTTGGAATTTTGAAAGATGAAATTTCCTGTAATAATACTCTTGAGACTATTGAATTATTGGGGTGTCCATCAAGTCAAAAGTGGTGTGAATATACCAATGCAATGACACTCACACAGTTCATAGCCGGCTATATTTTTACTTGTTTTGGATATCCGATTGGTGTGACGTTGATTCAAACAATCTTCTCGAAGATTCTTGGACCTCGTCCGCAAGGTGTGTGGATGGGATTACTCACAGGCGCAGGATGTCTCTCCCGTGTCATGGGACCTGTATTTGTTACTTACATCTACACCGAGTTCGGTACTTATTGGACTTTTGGATTTACAGCAGTAATGATGATTGTTTCTATGATTTGGTTGGTGTTTTTTACCGATAAACTGGAAGTAAAAGAAAAGGTTAAAGAGGATGTTGAAGAAGCGACTGAGTTGAATAATTTTGTTACGGTTTCATTACCGAATGTCAATGAGATTGCAAACTAAACAAATTTATAAAATATTATATTACTGACGCTAGTATGACAAAGACAAATCGGTATAATTCTACCATACGTAATGTTATTGTTAGGAATCGTGCCAAAAATGTACTTATATTCATATCATGACTTAATGAGACATGTAAAACCAACAACGATAAAGATTATTAATTTCATAAATAATTCAGGCAAGTTACATCACTTTTTATTTTTACAAATAAAACTTTGAATTCAAATTCCAAATTAAACACGCATAAATAGAATCATAAAACAGAGTGATTTCATCAAATATAGATATATTTGTTTAAAAATAAATAGATTGTATATTTTAAGTCATAAATTGTTTATTTGAAGAGCTCAAGTGAAAGGCATGAATATTCGACATGTGTCGGTGACTTTACATGTAAAAATCAACAATGCAATGAACTTTGTATTTTTTATACAGAAACTGGTAAAATAAAAAAAAATAAAAATTTAAGTTTATAATTCGTGTAAATTGAATATGTATGAAATGTTTTTTGAACACAATGAAATCGTGTTTGCGATTTGATTAACGAACTCCTCGAAATTCGGCCGGTGGCGTTCCCAAAATAAACAACCGGCATAAAAAGATACGACGACACGAAATTTGCTATATATTCGGCCCACCGCGCTCGGAAAATGTTAAATCATGTGCAATACGATTCATGTCGGAGACGTTCAAAGCGTTTAGAGCATTGAAAGCCAAAGTTTAAAGCGGTTTAACAGCGCGTGTGCATTGTCATCGTTATTACAATTATCGGACCGCGCTCGTATCATCCAGAGTAAACTACAAAGACGCGTTGTGCGATAACGACAATGGAAATTGTTCGCATTCGTGCGGATGAAAGCGAAACTTTATTATAATATCATTATTGTCTGTGATGTAGTGTCATGATGCAAGTAAAAATAGTTGTTAAACCTTCGTTGACTTAAGTTACGTGACTTTAATTTTAATGTATTAGACACAATGTAAAGCCTTTTATGTGAGGTGTAGTTTTGGTTAATTCAATTGTAAACATGCGAGTGTTAAAAAACGTCTTATCATTGCCCAAGTAAGCCATCTTACACGTAACGAAATGAGTGATTAAGCAAGAAATTGTTTTCGAGGGCGACACGCCGCTTGTGAGTGAACACAGTGGAAATTTTCAGCGTCTCTTAGGTCGTGTACAAGTGTAATCGAATGACGAAAATATCTTGGAAAGTCTAGTTCTGGCAAATTCAACGGGTTCCGCGCTTAATAATAGTAGTATACTAGTGCACATTCAGAAATAAAACGAACAAACAGCATTATGTAGTTACAATCATAGTATCAAAATATAATTGGCATAAATTGTCATATTTAAAGTGCAAAAATGGGGCTTTGTTGTAAATATGGAAAAAAGAGCGAGTATGAAACTGAAGAGGAATATGAAGAGCGTGCGCGATCACATTTTATTGTTTTCTTCACACAATTCAACGTTGTCATTTCGTATAGTACGATATTAATTGGGATATGGCCATATTTAGTTAAAGTACGAACATAACCTAAAATGTTACCTATTTTGTAATGTATATATTTGTAGATTGATCCATCAGCCGGTAAAAGCTTCTTGGGATATCTAGTAGGTGCAAGTGCTCTTGGGCAAACAATATTCTCGCCATTGATTGGTTGGTGGAGCAACAAACTTAACTCTAGCAGAGTGCCATTTATTGTTAGTCTAGTGGTCCTGCTATTATCTCATTTAATCTATGCAACATTAGAGATTTTTCCACATAAGAAGTACTGGATGTTAGCGTCTAGATTTTTAGCGGGCGTTGGTTCCTGTAAGACTTACGTGACTATTTATGTTAATACTTTTGTTTTATTATAATGCTTTTTTGTTAACAGCAAATTTTGCTTTGTGTCGCTCGCACGTCTCTTCAACAACTTTAGTAAAAGAACGCCGGAAAGTGGTAACCATTCTTTCATCATGTGCAACAGTATCATTTGCTCTTGGACCAGCAATCCAATCCATGACCATCCCTTTTGGAGAAACTGGAGTATGGTTAATCCCAAACACTTTGAAACTAGACATGTACACCGCTGTAGGTTGGATTGGATTGATAATATCTGTCATCAACATGCTCTTGTTTATGCCATCAGTGTTTCAAGAACATCCAATGAATAAGCGTGAAGAAATTTCACCTGAGAAAGACGTCTATCGATCAAAGAACTATAAAATATTAGCAATGCTCTTTATTCTGCTGAATTTCTCATTGACTTTCAATTTTATGTTTTTGAAAGTCTTGGGAACTCCATTGGTGATGGATGAATACGCTATGACTAGAGCACGAGCAATGGCATTAAATTCAATTGTCGTCATTGTAGGAGCTGCGATTTCTTTTGTTTCCATCTTGCTGATTAATCCAGTCAGCAAATTCTTTAGTGAAATAACGTTGTTGATATTTTCTTTACTACTTATGATAATAGGAAGATTCTGTTTCTATCCGTTTACTAATGAAACAGTTGTTACTTATAACGATGTGAGTTTGAACGAGACTGAACTCAGTAACACCGAATATGTTGGATGTCCTTTGAGTCAACAATGGTGTGCTGGCGAAGGAAAGATATTTTTCTTTCAATTTATTTTAGGGAATGCTTTAGAGAATGTTGGATATGCAATCGCCATTACTTTGACTATGACTATATTCTCACAGGTGTTAGGCTCCAAAAAACAAGTATGTTTAATTTAATAAAATTATTTATTTATTATTTATGTTAAAATAACTAAAAAATATTTCTAGGGAACATGGATGGGTTTCCTAACGGCATTTGGTAGTCTGGCAAGGATTACATCTCCGGTTTTCATTACGTTTTTGTATGAACAATACGGTCCACGAACTGTTACAATAGTAACGAATACGATGTTTGCGCTTATCTCAATATTTGTAATGAAAACATCTCATCACCTATTTATTAATAAGAATAATGATATCGATGACGCAAAGGAACAGCTCCAGGAAGATAAACCGGGTAAGGAGTCTACAGTTGACGATGAGACGGCCGGCGATGAACCCGCCAGCGATAATAATTTGTTGAACAAACAAGCCAGAACGCAAACAAACACCATCGAAATTGTGAGCAATGCGTGATGACTATGGAATTACTATGTTTTGTTTATATTGTGAATTGTATATAGGAAATAAATAAATATTGACTGTGATTTAACAAAAAATAAATACTTTTAAAAAAAGCATTTAAAACTGGAATTAGATAACTAGTTCAATAAACTGATAACATTTTTTTTTGTTTCAGTGCGAAAAAATTTAAACATTTTAACTGTTCTCGTTGTGTGGCGAAGTGTAATCGTTTTTGTCATTGGTTTTATAACTATCGACTTGTTTTTAAATATATTTTTATATTGTTGTTTAATTGTTGGTTTACTAAGTCATTGTCAGTCTGCCAGCCGGCGTCGTTTCGAGCAGTTGAAAGTAGTGAAAACTGTTGTAATCTTAATCATTTAATACTATTTATTCAGTGTTAATATATTAAACATACGTAGATGCGCTTATTGCTTTGAATTAAGGAGTGAGTATGGACATTTACGTTCAATTCAAATAAAAACGAGGGAATGCTTTAGAGAATGTTGGATATGCAATCGCCATTACTTTGACTATGACTATATTCTCACAGGTGTTAGGCTCCAAAAAACAAGTATGTTAAACGTTATGAGGACGATTTATATTTTAAAATAACCAAAAAATATTTCAAGGGCACATGGATGGGTTTCCTAACGGCATTTGGTAGTCTGGCAAGGATTACATCTCCGGTTTTCATTACGTTTTTGTATGAACAATACGGTCCACGAACTGTTACAATAGTAACAAATACGATGTTTGCGCTTATCTCAATATTTGTAATGAAAACATCCCATCACCTATTTATTAATAAGAATAATGATATCGATGACGCAAAGGAACAGCTCCAAGAAGATAAACCGGGTAAGGAGTCTACAGTTGACGATGAGACGGCCGGCGGTGAACCCGCCAGTGATAATAATTTGTTGAACAAACAAGCCAGAACGCAAACAAACACCATCGAAATTGTGAGCAATGCGTGATGACTATGGAATTACTATGTTTTGTTTATATTGTGAATTGTATATATGAAATAAATAAATATTGATCAGATTAATAAAAATAAATACTTTTAAAAAGCATTTAAAACTGAATTAGATAACTGCCCAATAAACTGATAACATTTTTTTGTTTCAGTGCGAAAAATTTAAACATTTTAACTGTTCTCGTTGTGTGGCGGCGTAATCGTTTTGTCATTGGTTTTATAACTATCGACTTGTTTTAAATATACTTTTATATTGTTGTTTAATTGTTGGTTTACTAAGTCATTGTCAGTCTGCCAGCCGGCGTCGTTTCGAGCAGTTGAAAGTAGTGAAAACTGTTGCACTTAATACTATTTATTCAGTGTTATATTAAACATACGTAGATGCGCTTATTGCTTTGAATTAAGGAGTGAGTATGGACATTTACGTTCAATTCAAATAAAAAATATTTATTTCAAGGTCAGCCAGTTATAATTACGAAGTTATATGATTTTACAATTTCTTAATTGTGGAAAACTATTGAATTAACGAGATTAGTTTTGTGCAATACAAGTGACTTGAAGTGATTTAGGTTACATGACCTAAATAGTTCGTCTGTAAAACTCGATATCTCGTCTTTACTAACTATTTATAAATAAACTTTTAATTGGTTGATTTATCTCAAAGAAATCTATTTTGCGTCAAAAGATAAACAAATTATCGATCACGATGGTATGAATAAGGACACCCGATGCGGGTAGAGATCTGTTAATGTGCATGTTTACTTTTGTCTGGAGCTAAACTAATAATCATAATTCACATTTGTGCAAACTTATCTTTTGTTATGTTAATTTACAAAAGTGATACGCATAATATAATTTAAAATCTAAGTTGCTAGTTCATTATCTAACCGTTTTTATTGTTCAAGCTACAAGCTACAGTGCAGGCAACATGAACGAATCGAAACTATTACCAATATCCAATGAAGCCGAGAAATCGCATATTGAATCACCACAAGAATATCGCTATCGAAAAATTTCACATTATGTTATATATTTTACGATAACAAGCAGTTCCTTATATTACAGCGTGATGCTTGTCAGTTTATGGCCATATTTAAACCATGTAAGTATTTGTTAGAATATTTTTTATTTTTATTATTATTGAAGGAGTGTTTTTAGTTAGATTCTTCTGCAGATAAACAATTTCTGGGTTATTTAGCTGCAATTGGTGCTATTGGAACTACATTATTCTGCCCGTTATTTGGAAAATGGTCAAACTCACTGAAATCATGTCGCACGCCATTTCTTTTTACTTTAATCTGCGGTGCTGTCCATTATATCATTTATGTCAGCTTACCTTTGATTCATCGGGATAGTAGAAGAAATTGGTTTCTATTTGCTCGGTTTATGACTGGAATGCATGATAGTAATTTGAATGCATGTAAATTCAACAATTCATTGTATTAATAATAGATATTTCTAGTCAATATTGGATTAGCTCGTGGATATATTGCGGAATCCACGTTGAGATCTGAACGTCGAAAGGCTGTGTCCATCCTGACAGGTCTTCAAACTGTGGCATTTGCTTGCGGCCCATTATTGCAATCCTTGATGGTACCACTTAAAGAAAATGGGTTCACTATATTTGGAGGATATGTAAGGATTGACATGTACACTTCAATTGGTTGGCTGGCGTTGATAACAATTGTCATCAACATTATCATTTTCTTGCCTGCAATATTTCAACATAAAGATGTGCGTCACATGGAAACATCTACGAGTAGTAGTACGAGTCTAAATCAAAACTACAAACTTATTGCGTGGATTTTTATATTTTTACAATTCTGGTTAATTTGTAATTACCTATATTTGAAAGTGTTGGGCACACCGATTGTTATGGATGGGTTTGCGATGAATCGCCCAGATGCCCTACAATTTAACTCGTATATTATGACAGGCGGGGCAATTGTGTCTTTAGTCGCCATCGCAGTCTTGGATATGTGCTGTAAAAAGTTTGGAGAAATGGATGTTATGTATCTTGGGTTTCTTATAATGATTGTGGGACGGTTTTTGATGTACCCATCTGTGAGTAGTACTGTTGTCACAGCCGTAAATCAAACAGAGCAAGGCTGTCCTCAGTGGTCCCAAGAATGGTGCATGGATGAGAAGCAAATGTCTCAGCTCCAGTTTATTCTGAGTAATGTTTTGGATAATTTTGGATACTCGTGGGCCATCACAATTATCTACACAAAATTTTCTCAAGTTCTTGGAACAAAACAGCAGGTTTGTTTTTTATATGCGTTTTTGAGGGTGGTTAGAAATAATTAATGCTTCTTTTTATTTTTGCTCAATTAAGGGTACCTGGATGGGTTTTATGACATCATTTTCGGGCTTGGCAAGGATTTTAAGTCCGGTTGTTCTGTCGTATCTATACGTTTTGGTGGGAAATCGTATTACTATGCTCATTTCGAACTTTGTTTTTATTGGACTCATTGTGGCCACTTTATGGGCGATTAAACACTGGACCCAGAAAGGTTCAGTTAATTCAGTTGAAGAAAGTTGCGAAATGATTGATCAAAACGGCAAAGAAATGAACGAAATTATTAAATAATAATGATTAGAATCTGAAGCAATTATTTTCGTTAATAAATGTTTAATATTATATGCGTGTTGTTAAAACTTTAACATTAAAAAATAATCATTTCTTTCTTGAATACATATAAGCCCTTTAGCAAACAAATACTATAAGCATGAAATCCTAGAAGAATCACCCTCCGCCAATTTTTGACACGATCAGGCCACCAAATGACTCACAAAGTCACCGTTAGGGGTGGAGCCACGAGCTCCCCTCGCCACGACAAACTACTAGGGTGCCAGCCAACACCACGGACTCCCCTCATGGGACGAACTACTGGGGTGCCAGCCAACTACGGACTCCCCTCGCGAGGATGAACGGTTGGGGTACCAACTAAATTTTTTCACGAACTCATCTCATTTCCGTTTTGTGCCAGCATCACACTACATCGGTACACGGTATTCCATTTTGCAAAATTACTGCTACAAGGTACGACAGAACTACATCGGTACAGTATTTCAGTTCACCCCAAAACTACTGCTACAAGGTATGAGTAAACGCATTTATTACGAACTCCACTTGATACTAACAGCCATCCCATGCGACTCAGCTACCTAACCTCAATCGACCAAGGCTACGCTCATTAATAACGCTGTGTACATTTCTCTTTCTTTTCCGGGTAGTTCAGCCCCTCGTGCTGAGCTGCCCCTGGGGATTCAAAAACTCCGTACTGGGTTTTACAGTGTTATTTTGGAGTCTTCGGCTTAACTTTGTCTGTGCAAGGTTTTTGTTCGAACGCTCGTACTGAACCGCCTCATTTAAATGTTACTTTATACACGTGTTGTGTAGTATTCTCCCAGATTAAACAGCCTTAATATCAAGACAAACATTCCAGTTTGCACGCGCAACGCCCCATGTCCACGCGCACGACAGCGTAAAGAAGTTTTTCGGTCGATTCGGTGTTGCGATAGTCCGGCACGCTTCAGCCACAGTCGGGCGCACCAACCTGCTGGCTTTATAGGTTGCTTTTGTTTTCACCGCAGTATTCCCGCACGGTTGCTGGGTTGAGCTGCGCGTATCTCGAGAACATGTAAAATTTCTTGCGATTTTAACATTAAATTGCATTGATTTAATTAGCCGTGAAAGTGAGTTTGTGATCAAAAAGTGTGTACGCTTTCCTAATGCTAGAGTACGAAATATTCATTAAACGGAAAAATAAAGTACCGTGTGTTAAGGGATTTATATCGCTGACCGTCGGATCACTTTACATATAGGTACTTCCAACGGGCATCGTGGCGACGCATTTGCACAGGTGAGATGCAGGTATTTTAATTTTTCAGTAATCATCGCTTGTAGTAAAGCGAGAACCGCGCAAAACTGCCACTTTAATAAAATTTAATTAGATTTTCATCCAAGCGTCTGATTTGAGATGTTAAGCGTACGATTGCACTAAGTTATAAATAGCTAAGTACCCTTCACAGTACCCTATTGGTAAAATATAATTCAAATATTTGATGATGTAAATAGTGCACCAACACGATCTGCGAGAGAAATGTTATTCAAAGGATTTTATTTACAGATGTTCAACTTTTTAGATTTTGATCTAAAAGATAGACGATTTCAGCTCTGTGGCCTGATATTATTAAACCGCGCCTAAATCATAATCCTTCGCTTAAATATGTATCTCCTGCTTTGTATTTAATTTTTTATCTCCAAAGTAAATAAACTCTACAGTCGATGAAGATATATTCAACGCAAAATTTTTTACCCTCTACAAAAATGATCTCTTTGGTTTTTGGTTAAAAACATTCCTGTAAAAGTTATTATTTTGCGACAAGTTATATACACAGTTTATAATCACTTATGGTAAATTCTAACTGCGCTACCTATAATCAATTGATCGAAACTAGAGTTTACGTTGTTAATAATCGCGTATCGACAACGCGACTTAATTCCAACAATTTTTACAGGGTTGATTTATCGAAAAGTATTCAGACCTTTTTGTAGAGCGCGTACCCCGGACAAACAGGTTCCAGCGGTATTTTTAGCTATATTTGTTTGATAAAAACAATAACTGTAAAGTGCAAAAATCCTACGTTATTTTAAAATGGGAAAAGGATTATGATTTAGGTAATGGCTTCAGAATATCAACTTAAGGGCTGAAATGACCGATGCAGTCAAAATCTAAAAGTTTGGGGGGCGTCTGAAAAATAAAATCCATTTTGGGAAATAACGGACACCCTAATATATATATACGTAGATAATGATTTGTGCGTGAATCGATGATAAAACTTGTATTACTCTGATTGGTTTTACGTAATTTATTTCCATAACTTAATATAATTCCTTTAAAAACTTTACCATATATTTAACATTATGTATTGTATATTGAGTAGTATTCGTCGTGAATACTACTAAGTATATTTGTTTATACTTTTTATTGCATTGAAGAGTAGATTACGGTACTACGTATTATCCGGTCTATACCTGCACGACCTTCACCATATTGGCCGTGGGGAGCTGGAGAGAGGATAGTTTAGCAGACTGCTAACTGTTTCGGGCCGATTGTCAGCTGATACTGTGGCTGATTCGCGTTATTCACTCGCGTGTCTGCAGATACATTTGTTTTTATTTCGATAGTTGTATAGGTATATCATTATTTTTAATATCAATTAAAGAGTAGCCGTTTCAAGAAGCGTTATAAAAATATGGTGTGGAAAACGCCCAGTATCTCGTACATTGATTCACTTTTTTCCGTTTTTTATCGTCATGTTAGAGCCGGAGAGCTCTACAAGATGCATACCCCTCCTACCTACCCTTTTTTTGTCCTTCAAAAATGAACAATTTTTGGAAAATTTAAAAACATGGTGTGGAAAACACTGTGTATCTAGTGAATTAATGGACTTTCTTTGAGTTTCTCTACGCCAGAATAGACCAAGAGAGTTTTTCTATACGATGTATTCCCTCCAACCTTCCAACTCTTTCGGAAGTGCCCTAAAATGCCCTTTAAAAATAAGCAATTTTAGGAAATTTTGACTCTCTTAAAGTTTCTCCACACCAAAATAGAGTTAGAGAATTCATCTATTCGATGAATATCAATTCAAACTTCCATCCCTTCCGGAAGTTCCTTAAAATGTCCTTCAAAAATCAGCATTTTTAGGAAAAGTTTTAAAAGATGAAGTGGACAACACTCTATATCTCCGAAAATAATTGACTTTTTTGGAGTTTCTGCACGCCAGAATAGAGTCGGAGAGTTTGTCTACACGATGCATACCTTTTCAACCTTCCAGCTCTTTCGGAATTTGAAAACATAGTGTAGAAAACACCCTGTATCTCGTAAACATGACTATCTGCTAGTTTCTCTTCGCCAGAAGAGAGTCAGGGAGTTTGTCTACACGATGCATTCTCTTTATACCTTCCAGGCCTTTTGGAAGTGCCCTAAAATACTCTTCAAAAATGAGCAATTTTTGGAAAATTTAAAAACATGGTGTGGAAAACACCTTGTATCACGTGAACTAATTGATTTTCTTGAAGTTTCTTAACGTCATGTTCGAGAAACCCTTTATACTATGCATACCTCTTTAACCTTATAAACCTTATGAAAGTGTTTTAAAATACTATTCGAATATCGCTATTTTTGTCAAATAAATTTCATTTTTTGGTCGAAAACAGGGTCAAACTTGTTTTACGAGTAATAAATATTTTTCGGTCGAAGAACAGAGTCGAACTTTTTTACTTAAAATTTTTTCGGTTGTATTTTTTTGTTAAAATTTTTTCGGTCGAAAAACAGGATCGAACTTTTTTTCATAAAATTTTTTCGGTCGAATTTTATGTTAAAATTTTTTCGGTTGAATTTTTTTGTTAAAATTTTCTTTGTCGATTTTTTTTTATTAAAATTTTTTTCGGTCGAATTTTTTTTGTTAAAATATTTTCGGTCGAAAAACAGGATTGAACTTTTTTACTTAACATTTTTTTGGTCAATGAACAGGGTCGAACTATTGTGTTTAAATATTTCTCGGTCGAAAAGCAGGGCCGAATTTTTTGGCGATTATGTCAATAACAAAAAGGTTTACGAAAAACGAATGAATTTTTCTCAAATATAGTAAATAGGGTCTAAACGGTTAATGTTAGTTACTGAAATAAACGATGTAGAATTAAATTATCCTTCAGAATCCGATTAAGAATTTAATAAAAATGAATAGTTCCATGCATGGTACGAGTTCAATTCTTCTCATGTTCTGCACTACCGCATGTAATGAAAATGTTAGTTTTTACAAACAAACATGTTTTCTTATCGCTTCCAATTTTTGTACGGTCGTCACGCGGTTGGCTTGCGTATCACGTTAGTCTTATTTTAGTCGTCAAGTGATCTGGACGCACATTTTCTTTACAATATTTGGAGTTCCTTAATTTTTTGTCGCGTTATTACGTAATGTTTCTAAATGCTCCTTCGATTGTGCGCGAGTGATGTGCGGCATTCGTTAAGCGCGGATTGTACACACATACATGCAAAAATTTATTTTGCATCAAGGTATGTTCTCACATTTCTTCAGCCATATGAAAATCAAATCCATTATTGACTTAACTTGTTTTTACTTCAACCGCGTGGTCTTTAACCACCCAAATAATTTTTGTCTCTGGCATTGGCATTTATAAATTCTGTTTTTGGATTTTGAAAGATAATTTAATTCTTAATTGTTTATTTAAGTAATTATTTTTCTATCACTGAGGGTTTAGGCCCTATTTGCAATTTTAATTTAAAAAAAAAAAGATTTTTAAATGCCAAAATGGCTTTAATCTACAATTGTGTTACATGTTTCAAATGTTTCAGAACCAAAAACAGAATTCAAAAATTCTAATTGTTACAGGATCTGAAATTGTTGAAATAAAATATTTCGACATAAAAAAGACAAAAGATTTCTCTTTTTTTATGTCGAATGCAGTTTTCACTAAAATTTGCAAATAGGGCCTGAACGGTTAATCTTAGGAAAAAAAGTTAAGAAAATAATCGACGATAAATTAAAAGAACTGTTTTAGTATTTATTATCCTAACAATGAACGTTTAGGGCATATTTGCAATTAAAAAAAATAGGTGATTTCACGCCAATAAATCTATAATTTTGTTACTGGTGTCCTAATTTAATCGAAATTAAAAGTTCCATGCATTGTACGAGGACAATTCTTTTCATGTTCTGCATTACCACACTGAATGTATCAGTGTTTACAAACAAACAAGTTTTCTTATCTCGTGCAATCTTTGTGCGGTCGCCACGCGGTTCGCCACGCGGTTGGCTTGCCTATCACGTTAGTCTCATATTTGTCGTCGGTTGATCTGCTAACCCTTCCATTGTGCGCGAGTGATGTGCGGCGTTCATTAAATGCGAATTGATTATACACAGAGGTAAAACGTGAGTGATGTTCCGTCGACCGTCGGATTCTCTTTTTGTATGATAGGCGTATTTTATCATTTCTACAATGTGCATAATTAGGTCCTTATAATTTATTGGTTAGGCCAAAAGCGCAAAAATTAATTTTGCATCAAGGTATGTTCTCGCATTTCTTAAGCCATTTGAAAATCAAATCTATTATTGCCTTTACTTGTTTTTACTTCAACTGCGTGGTCTTTAAGCCTACAAATAATTTTTGTTTCTGTTTCAAAACCGTTGATTTGCATTACGTATTTGATACCTTGTTTTGTTTTTGTTTAATCTACAAATTAAAAAGATTAAGATAGACGCGTGCCGTCGGCTGCGCCCTTGATCCTCTGGCGGCTTTCCGGGCTGGTCGCCGGTTGTTTTACATGATTTAAAATAAAATTCTGCTTTGTGCTATATTTTTGTAATATCCAACCCATCACTTTTCCTTCATAACCAAAGAAAATACAATTTTGGAAATGTCCTATTTTTAGGTTTTCTTCTTTTCACTATTCTCTGATTTCCGGTTTAAACATTTTGATTTTTTAAATTTCCTGGTGGGTTTCTTCCTTTATTATCTTGTTAATATCGCCTTGTTAATTGTTTCTATCCGTTTTCCTACTTAAATCTTAATTTTTCTTTGTGTATCACCCAGGAGATATAATTTCCTTAACATTTAATAGACCAAATTTATTAGTGTTTGGGCGTTCTACTTTTAATACTTACAGTTTTCTTTTTGTAACACCCTGTATTGGACTGAAACTTAGAATTTTCTTTTAAAAGATTGTAGTTTTCTTTTGTATCACCCTGTATTATAATTTCCCTTGGTGAATTTGTCAAAAGGGGGAAGATATACATATGTTATCCCACTGAAACTTAGGATTTTTCTTTAAAATGTTGTCGTTTTCTCTTTAAATCACCCTGTTCATTAATTTTCTTTGATTTTTACTGTGGTTTTAGATATGTATTTCCCTACTTGAATTTTGCATTTTCTCTTTAAATGTTATTATATTGCTTTTGGAACACCTTGTATAATAGTTTTTCTTTGTTAACTTTTACCCTTGGTAATTGTCTGCATGTGCAGGGCTATACTGCTCTTATAACTAGATTCAAAATACTATTAGTATTACATTTTACAAGTTTTCATTGTATACATCTATATATATATATATATAAAAGAAAGTCGTGTTGGTTACCTTGATTTTAACTAAAGAACGGCTAAGGTAGCTTAGGGCCAGGAGAAGGTAATGGGATACTTTTTGAAATGAAAACTTTTCTAAAAAAGGTACTAAACGACACTAAAAATAGACAAACATATTTGCGTATATGGATTATCTTGCGGGAGAATAAGAGAACGCAAATACAAAGTTTTCTATTATCCCCGTCTCCTCTTTGTGCGATGCTTCGTAGCATAGACGTGTGTATGTGTGTGTACGTGTGGGTTGAGAGTTGACCGGTTGATGTTTTGTTTTGGAGGAAGGTTACTAGGATACTTTTAGAAGTAGAAAACTCTTTAAGGGAACACTAGAAACGACATTAAAGAAAAGGGAAACCGACATATTCGCTTATATGGTTTTAGCCTACGGAAGAAAAGGCACACAAATATAATGTTTTCTATTATTATCTCGTCTGCCCTTTGTGCAATTCGTAGCTTCCCCTAAGCATAGACGTGCGTGAAACGTTACATTTTTAAAGGAAACCGCAACCCAAATCAGTGTAGAAACAAACACTTATTCAGCTTATATGGTTTAGCCTGGGGAAAAAAAGAGCACACAAATATAATGTTTTCTAGTATCCCGTCTCCCCTTTGTGCAATTCGTAGCTTCCCCTAAAGCATATAGACGTGCGTGGGATTTGTACGTGTTGGTTGAAGTTGCCAGTTGATGTGTTTGTTTTGAATAAGACTTAGTAAGTGTAGGATACTTTTTTTAATACTTTTAAAGTTAGAAACTTCTTTGGAAGATACTAAATGAAGAGTTTTCTTTGTGCGATGCTTCGTAGCTTCCCCACTCAACGTACACGATCAAAACGATTAAGATACTTATCCGACAAAACCGTAATGCAACGCTAGGATTCGAAGGATTGCGAATGAAAAGGACTGAAGAAGAACAAAAATTGCACGTGAAAGCGCCGTGTTAGTATGAGCTCGACTTCGTGCTTCTCAATCCACAAGAGCAAAGCGAGGCGGAACAAAGAAGTTTGCCAGGTCAGCTAGATGTTTCAATAAAGAAATGTTAAAAGTGACTGTGCCTCCTATGATTTGTGTGTACCCACTACATCATTTCAGGTACAAGGTCAGAACTTGTAAAATATTTGTACCAAGTGTCGCCTTATTAATTTGGAGACGACTTAAAACTTCGAAATATTTTTACAAGTCCTCATAAGGAATGTCCCCACCATAAAAATTGTTGATATACCTAAGAATCCTGGGGATGAAGCGTAGAGGAATCGTAGCTGTAGGATGGGCCGGGAGCATCGATAGCAGTACACTATAGAACGACACGCTGCCAAAAAATTTAAAAATCCGAGCCACTCCCGTATTCTTTCGGGGTGGCTTTCCTCTATTCTGTCCTCTCGTCTAACTGCTCTCTCTCTCTCTCTCTTATACTCTTCATCTCTTTTCACCTGTTCTGCTTGTTTCTATATTGTATTGCATCTTCTCATCTTATTTATTTGCCTTGCACCTTACTAAATTGAACTGACATATGCAACCCAGATTGCACCATTTATTTTTATATTTGAGAAAAATGCCTTCTTTATCTGAAGATCGAACCATCGACCTACGGTATGGCAGCATGTGCTTCACACCTGAGAGCCACACGGCTCACTTATCAAATCTTATTCGTATCTTTTTATCTTTTATTTATACTTTCATATCTTACAGTACAATAAAACTACAGCATACATAAAATGCACTGTGCTATACTACACTATACTATGGTGTCCTCTTAGAGTTCAACATGGCTTAAAATACTAATCCTGAAAACGACTAAGTGAACACTAGGGACTCACGTAAGCAATAATGTAAAATTAAATTAGCCTTTTGTTAAGTATGGCCTTGTGGCGTACTCGGCTGAACTGCGCGCAAGCGCTGCGGGTGAAGGGGGAAGGATACTCAAGGTGTGCGAGAGACGACAGACGAGAGGGGAGTCGACGAGAACGCGGCAGAGACGACCGTGTAAAAGGGGAGAAGTCGAGATCATGAGACATACGAGTATAGAGATTGTATAATTAGAGAAATAAATAAGAGATTTTGAATTAGAGACCACATGCGGAGTTATTTCTTAACACTTTATTGACTGAATCATTTTCATTATTATAAAGCAATAACATGGTGTAAGATTTAAAAATTAAATAAAAGTAAAGTTTTATTTGATGCTACTTACTCCTATGTTCTTCTATCAATAAAGGACTAAGGCGCACACACACGTTTCCGCAAATTGAATGTAGAATTGATTATACGCACTTCTTTACTATTCCACGCAGAGATTCTAAATGTATTCACGTCAAACACATAAATTTAACTTCATTTAACCAGAACATACCTATTCGACGGACGGCACGCGCGCTCCGCAAAGAATCACTCAAATCATTCGTTGTGCGCTGCAGTGGGCTGTTACTACTAAATGCCGCTGATCGTCAATCGATTTAAGTAATGCTACAAAATATCAAGAATCGCGAGAAAGGGTCACTACGTTTGATTAATGAACATGAATAAACAAAACACGTGAGCACTCCCAACAGCGCTTAACCGACTAAGCCGAACTAAGCAAAACAGATTGACAACCGACCCGCAGTTGCAGGGGCACTAGTCGGACTCTAGTTATAATACAGTTTACCATAAAAAAAAAATTGGTTTGAGTTTTATGTGTAATAAAAATGAACTTAAAATTTAAATTAAGCAGGCATCAATCGTTTTTTATCTAAATGTTATTTTTGTTTCAACAATAAATTACAAAATTTAAAGTAAAATTTGTATACAATTTTACCCTAAACATTTTATTTTATTTTGCATTATTTACGTTGCACTTTAATGTCATAAGTACCTCAGAATTCCACCCTTTCCAAATGGTTCAATTAAAACAAAAATGCAATGCAAAGAATGCTACATACACTTCATATTCATCGACTTAACTATTCATTCATATTAGTAATCTTATTATTTTACAATATTTTCTTTTGCAAGCAGAACAGCACCGTCATTGATTTTGGTGCGGCGTGCTGTCCCCTAAAACGTTGTATTGTCTTATCACACACTTTGTCACTGAATTTGTTCGTTTTTAAAAGTTAATTTGCTGAAATTAATTTGCAACTGTTGTCATCACGTTGCTCGTATTATCATCTTGTTGTCATATCATATGTATAATAATTGTCACTTGTTTATCTTACCAATAGGTTCGAGTCTACTAGATTAATCAGGGCATTCATATCAGTTCTGCGACAAACTCCGTCTTGTCGAGACCACCGCTGGTGTTGTTCTGCTTGAATCGGCTGCGATTAAATGAGTTGAAATCTTCGGATGAGCTGCTAGCCGGTTCTGGGACTTGGAATGTTGAGCCTTGAAAGCCCATAGCTGCCTCATAATACTGCAATACAATAAGAAAACATCGTGTAAATTAAATGAAACATCCACTAGTTTCATAAGCTTACATTTGGCGATCCACGCAGTGTACTGCTATTGGAATGTTGTGCCACTCCAGATAACGTTGCATAATCGGCGAATTCATCCGCCATTGATAAGGTCGCCATATGCACAGAGCCACGGCGGTTTGGATGTTGAATCGTCGCATATGTATTGTCATCCTGAACAAGCAAGAGATTAAGCAACATGATCAATTTACTACCTTGAATAGACTTACTGGCATAAATTCATCACTACTTCTCCGATTATTCATATTCTCTGGCTCATTGAAAACCTGCATCGTCAACTCTTGTTCTTCATATATTTTTAATTTCCTGAAAATAATTAAATTAATAATTTTAAAATTATTATAATATTATAATCGACTTACTGTTCAATCCACAATGGATTCTCGGTTGTGTTGAGATCGTCAATTATTGCCTTCTTAATAAGAGCGTCCTTTTTCTTTAGATTAGGCGCAATAGTCCAATGACGCAAACAACAACACACCACCGTAAACGTAATAATTCCAACAATCAACACAATGAGCAAAGCTATGAGTGCCGCTAATGCCGGATCAAACGCGTCGTCCTTTTCAGTAGCAAATGCTGGTACAACGTTTTCAATGGCAAACCCAGCGTAGTAATCCTTCAAGAAGTCATACTTTGAATCGATTGTTTTCAGTACTTCAGGAACGGGAATGATAGAATGCGTTCTGGGATCTACCACGAGGATATACATATCACTCCTGAAAAGTAAAGAACAGAGAATTACATAATATTCGATTGAGTAAAATATTACAAAAGGCTTACCATTCTTCGTTCTTTTTACCCATATCATCTGTATGATATCGAATCTCGTCTACAATCACACGACTTTCAGTTGCATTGCTCAACTCTGCGACGATCTCATCCTTTTCCCGTAGGACCTCGTCTACCGGTCTCGACAGAATAATCCGATTTAATTGATTTGGCTCAAAAATCCATACGTGCACCTTCGTGACTGTCTCGCGTTCGGGAAAGGCGTTTTCCCTAGCTACCACGTCGACGATAAACCGATGCTGATTGTTCTCGGCAAGATACGAAGCAGTGTTGATCTGCCCCTGCTGCGTGATGTTGAAGGGCGAAGGGATGATCGAACCGGAGCTCTTGTCCGACCCGTACTTGTATAGATTGGACGCCTTGATATAGTAGGATATGCTACCGTTCGCTCCGTAATCCGGGTCCGAGGCGGTTGCGTTTAGGATAAAATTGTTGACTTTGGTCATCGCGTTCACCGCCGTGTAGTAGACGTCTCGCTCAAACGTGGGCGCGTTGTCATTTACGTCGCGAATGTAGACCTTCACTTTGGCGATGCTACCGTCGTGCGTGACCTGCTCCTCGGTAAGATTGTCGCGGTCCTCGCTGGTGAGATAAAAGTCGGGATCGTTGTTAGCAAGAATGTACAGGTCGTACTCGGCACGCTGTTCGCGATCGAAGGAACGATTCGTGTACAGCGAGCCGTCAGACTTGTCCAGGGTAAAGGCACCCTGCTCGCTACCAGACAGGAGGTAGTAGTAGACGCGGGCGTGTTTGCCCTCGTCTCGATCCAAAGCTCGTACTTGTCCGATGCGGACACCAGGCGCGTCGTTCTCGCTGATATAGAACGTGTACGGATTAGTCGTCTTGGAGTCGGGGAACTCAGGACGGTTATCGTCCATGTCCACCAACAAAATTGTTAAGTAGCAGAGGGTCTCATACCACTTGGGCATGCCGTGATCGCGAGCAGCCAAGATTAACTGAAAATTCGAGTAAATAAAACAAGAGCGGTAGAATGGAAATTGAGCGAGTGACCAACACGGTTGGTAATCGATACTCACATCATATTGGGCGCGTTGCTCTCGGTCTAATAATTTGCGAGTTTTCAGCTCGCCAGTATTCGCATCGATGGAGAATTCGGGAGTTTCTTGTGTGATCATGTCGTCGATCTTCAGATGATATGTGATTCGACCGTTTTCACCAAAATCTTTATCCGTCGCTTTCACAGTCATCACCAAAAAATCGGGAACTGCATCAGTCTGTACCATTGTATCAAAGAAACAAAGATTAGTAATGCAATTAAGTAAATTTAAGTAAATTCAACATTACCTCGGTAACTTCGACGGTAGCGTTTGCTAACGCAGGCATAATAAACGACGGGCGGAATTCGTTGACGTTCTGCACTTCGATGTTCACACTCGCTCGATCAGTCAGCGCCCCGCCGCCTTCACCGTCTCTCGCCTCGATAATTAATTGATAATTGCGAGGGCCGTCGATTAACGATTTATGTGCGTACAGGATGCCGGTTTCCTCGCCCAACAGAAATACATCTATCGCAGGAGCACAGAACAACGGTTAATTTATCATTAAAACAATTGCACCCTTCAACAAGACAGTTAACAAAACCAAAACGTTGTCGACATAGCTAGACGTCTTAGCGCGCAATTAGAATACAATGAATAGTGGGAAAATTATATAGCAGAGGTGCTTACCTTTGTTGTTTCCTGCGATAATCCTATATCTTACGACGCCATTGGCACCCACGTCCCCATCTGTGGCATTGATGGTCAACAATGGTACGGGTGGGTTGAGTCTAACGTTTTCTACGACGCTAATGTTATACGTGCTCTGATTGAATTTCGGCGGGTTGTCGTTAACGTCGAGGATCTCGATGTGAATCGGTACGCTGGCGGAACGCTTGAGCGTGCCAGGCGCATTGTCCGAGGCAACCACTTGTATCGTCGTCTCGTGAATGGCCTCGCGGTCGAGAAATTCGGGGTTTTCCACGCGTATGTCGCCCGTCCGTGGATCGATGCGGAAATGTTGGCTATGGTGGCCGATGAGGGCGTACGTGACGTCGCCGAAGACTCCGCTGTCGGCATCGCTAGCCTTGACTGTGAGCACGTGCGCGTCCTTGGCGAGATTCTCCTGAACGCTGACGTTATAGCTGGACGCGGAAAAGATCGGGTCGTTATCGTTCACGTTGATCACGCTCACGAGCACAGTCGCGGTGACGTTCAGTTGCGGAAAGCCGGAATCGAACGCGACGATGGTAAAGTTTAATTTTTCGGTCTCCTCATAATCGATTTTCTTTTTGATCTGAACGATCCCCGTGCCGTTGTTCACGGCAAAGTATTCACTTGGGGGGATAATACTATAGCCGGCAATCTCCGAATCTTCATCAAATGCACTGTACGTTGCAACGATAGTCCCCACGGGTTGTTCCTCCTTCAATTCCAAAGTGTAGAATGGAAAATCCAATGTCCAAGGTGGCGTGAACATCGGAGGAGAATCATTTACATCTGTTATCGTAATAATCAACATGCCTTCGCCTTGTTGCATGGTTGATGCAGTAATGTCCGTCACCAGAACGGTAATTCTGACCACAGCAGCAATGTCTCTGATTAAAGGATTCACCACTGTAACGCGTCCGGTGTTCCTATCCACCGAAAAGAAAGCTTTATAGTCGTCACTATGCAGCACTTGATGACCATGTTTGTCCAGAGCTGTTATAGGTTCAGTCGCCGCAAAATTCAAAGCCTCTGAATTGTTAACATCCGGATCTAGGGCAATTAATGTGTGAACATGTGTGCCAACCGGAGCATCTTCCAATACTTCTGCTTTTTGCGTGGTCGGAACAAAGTATGGCATTTTATCGTTTGTATTGATAACATTGACAGTCAAAGTGGTGGTGCCGGACAATGTAGGAGTGCCTTTGTCATCTGCGACCACTTCAATCGTGTACGTGTTGCGCCTGTCATAGTCCAGTTTGTTGGCGATTGTCACGGCGCCAGTCTCAGAGTTAATGGCAAAATCATCAAAATGACCCTTGGATAATCTATAGACTAGCTCGGCATTGATGCCAGTGTCAGCATCCGTGGCGTTCAAGACCAAAACTTCACTTCCTACAATAGCGTCTTCTTTAATGGCGATCACGTAGTCGTCTTTTGTGAAGACTGGAGCGTTGTTGTTTATGTCCCGAATGTTGATTTCAACTTGGGCGCTAGCGGTGAACTTGCCATCACTTGCCTAATGCAAAAAAATGTTTGCCCGTAATTAAGTTTCTGAATAATGAGTTGACTGGGACTTACCTCGATTGTGAGTAAAATACTGTTTGTGTTAGTATCATTACTAAGGTCCAAGCCACCGTGCTTGGCAATGCGGATCTTGCCAGTGTTGGGGTCCATGTAGAAAAGCTTCTCGGGATCGCCGGCAATGAGCGCGTAAGTTATATGCGAAGTTTTGTCCTTATCGCTAGCCGCAATCACCAGCTCGGGATCGAAACGCGTCGCGCCCTCGTCGACAAACACCTTGTAGATCGATTGGCTGAACATGGGCGCGTTGTCGTTGTTGTCGGTGAGGGTGATTCGCAGTGGAACGATTGATGTTTGTCCCATGCCATCATCATCCGCGGCGCGGAACGAGAGTAAATACTCAGATTTGGTCTCGTAGTCAAGGCAGTCACCCTCGCCTGGTTGCGCACAGGGTGCGATTGTAATAGTGCCTGTGCGGTTGTTCACCGTGAATTTTTCAGCACCATTTCCAACCAACGAGTAAACAATGCCATTCTCCCCAAATCTACCACTATCTCTATCCTTAGCCACAATTGTAGTAACTAAGGTTCCAGGGGTTGCAACTTCAGATACAGTTGCTGCGTAACTGTCCAGATCAAACGATGGCGCGTTATCGTTAGCGTCTGTGACCGTGATGGTCAAAGTAGCAGTTGAGGACAATTGTTCTTCAGTGTGAAGCTCTTTCGCTACCACAAGTATCAAGAATTTTCGTTGGTTTAGGTTTTCATAATCCAAAGAACTATTCACAACGCGAATTGTTACCGGAGTTGATCCGGTCGCTGTTTTCGGTTCAATTGCAAACGCATTTGAGATGTCAATCAACGAAAGAGAAAATTCAGCGTTTCGATCCTTTTCAAGCAGAAAGAAACTAAATTTAGTTTATGTATGATATTTTATTAGCTGACAAGCTATGAACCATTTAATAAGAACGCTATGCTCGTTTTCAGTTATTATTAAAAAAAAGGCAAGCGCATTAGAAGTCGTAATCGGCAGCAAGTGTTACCAAACACAGCAAAGAAAATTGCTAGCAAACGAGGATATAACTTATAACTTATGACTTACAACATCTGGATCGCGGACGCTCATATCCAGATTTGGCAAAGGCGATCCCTCGGCGATGTTTTCCGGTATCTCAACGTGGTAGTCGCGCTTATTGAACGTGGGTGGCTCATCGTTAACGTCTTTTATCGTTATCGTCGCCCGGGCGGTGCTCGTCGTCAGTGGGTCGTTGCCTTTCTGTCCATCGATTAATTCCCTAGCCTGTAGAAACAAACACACGCAAAAAATTAATTGTTATCGAGTATGTAAGCAGTTCTTGCATTTAAGTTTATTGCGGATGCACTGAGTAAATATTATTTAGGTTCTGAAACTTTTCCAGCGAATTATTTCAGATCGTTTGAAGTTCATTGAGAGCTTTTCCCCGACAGTAAATCATTGAAATTGAGAATTTAATCAAGCGATGGATTTTCCGCCCGCGTTAATTCCGCCGGTAAAACGCTCGCGGTGGCTGCGGCACAACCGATAACTTTTCTTTTTCGGTTTTCGGCGTAAGCGCTCCTTTTCGTCTTCTAATTTGGCCTCCTTCGGCTCCTTCCTTCCTGCGGTGGCCACGTTCGTGCGTTTACTTTGCGCGGCGGGCACTTATAATGCATTCATAATTCTTCAAATAATTCGCCAACGCTTGTAGCCATCGATGCGGAGAGAAGCGCCGAACAAGAATTTACGCCAACCCTATTACCTATCGCGTTTAATAACTCGAACTTTGATTACTTTCATAAAGATTTAAGCGCTCTGCGTGGTTATATTTCCACGGAAACTTGTTTTTCTAAGCGTAAGCGTTCGAGCTTGATTTTACTCGCGTTCAACGACGGGCCGCTCTCAAAGTTTCTCTTCAAACTCTGTAGGGTAAGATTTCATAGGACCGTACCTTAATTATGAGCGTGAGGGTGCCATTTTCCAGAACTTCTCGATCAAGAGGTTTCGCCGTGCGCAGCTCCCCAGTATGCGCATCCAACAAAAAATAGTTCATGGGGTCTAGTAAAAAAGATAACAACAAACAATAAGTATTAGTTTACAAACACTCCAATCACATATTTACTATTGACTAGTTCGTAGACAATTGGTCGGGGATGTTGACGATCACCATCCTCAGCGTGCACAGTCATGATCAACGAATTTATCTCAGCATCTTCATAGACCTCGGCTTCCAAATCCCCTTCAAATTTCGGCGGCGTATCCTGCACGTCTTCAACCCAAACCACTACCTTTGTAGAATTCGTCAGCTCTCCATCCTGCAATAAAAACATTTTTACGTGCCACGAGAAAATTAATTAAATCTTATTTTTAATTTTGGATTTAATTTGCTCTGAGCCTGCGAATATAAATGAATGCAATTTGGACGAAATTAGACTCCTTGAAGACATCCCAAATACTCCCGGCGTAATAGATTGAAATAGACTGCACGCTTGCACGATGAACCAGGATGAAAGGTGTTAGGTGGCAAGAGATAGTGGAATGAAGCCTTGGGTTGCCTCCGAGGGTGTGAGTGGAAGAAATACTTACAGTCGCCTTAAGTAACATCTCGTACTCGTCGCGTACGGTGTAATTTAATTTGCCGGTGAGCGTGAATACACCTTTATAACTGTTCGTGGACGCGTCGAGCTGCTGCAGCTGAAAGAGATCGCAGGCGTGTTCGTATCCGGGCAGATTGATGCACTCCACTTCGATCGTCTGCCCGCTCGAATCCGGATCCGCAAGTTCCACGTGCGCGAACACCGTCGAACCCAATTCGGCGTCTTCTTTCACTGATATCTCATATGGCACCTAAACACACCAAAATATGTCATTACATAGCAAAATTTCAACTTTTCAGACCTTCTTTTCTGCGAGGCACTCACGTTGAGAAACAGAGGAGCATTGTCGTTTTCGTCTAAGACGATCACGGTGATTGGCACTCGAACGATATTGTTCCCTCCGCGAGGCGCATCTTTCACTTCATCTTCGATGGTGACATTGAAGTTGAGCGTATCGTTCACCTACGTAAAGTACGAACGAAAAATTGACATGCTTGAGTTTTCACTGGTCTTTTGTAATATCAAAGTAGGTATTGATTTTTTCTCGTGAAACTTAAACTTTATCAATAAATTACCTCTCTGTCCAATGGCTTGACAAGCGTCACGTTACCATTAAGTCGATCGACTCGAAACAAATCACTGCCTTCAAGGCCATAATATAAGGGGCCTTCCTCAGGATCTGTACCTTCCAGGCTGTAAACGATCGACCCCACTGGCGTGTTTTCTGACAACGCTAGGTTGTCCATGTCCAATGAGAACGTCGGTGGTAAATTTCCACTGCATACTGCAACAATTAAACAAGTAGAAATAAGAAATATGAATAAATAATTTTAAAACAATGTTTCTTTAAATATTACAACTATATATTTATTAATTTTCTTAATTAAAGAGGGTTAAATAAACAAAAGTTCGTTTGTTATCGGGATTATGCCCGTCTGTGGTTGATCGGTTTCACATTTCATTAGAAGCATATTGACAGCGGAAACAGATCGAAGTGTCACTGATGTAGCGCCGCCCGATGGGCGCCTACGACCAGCTGTTGTTACGCCGTCAGTGTTTGCGCCTTTGTGCGCTCGTTATTTGTCTTTCCCAGAGCGTCCTCTCCCGTTCGCCCGTCCGTTTTGTTGCTTTATTTACCCGACGTTCATTGCACTTTCCGCCATGCCGCTTTCCGCATTTGTATTCATAGACGGAAGCCCACAATAGCGAACAGCCTCCTCTTGGCTGGCTGGGACATTTTGCAGGATTCGTGATTCGAGGGATGTGCGTGGCGTGCGGCGTGTGAATCGACTCACTTCCGGCGCGGTGCCATCAACGCTAATACTCTAATCGCTCGTAACGTAATAGTTCCGACTCACGCGGCTCTCGGAATACAACTCCAGCCGTTTCGGGTGTTCACCTCCTTGCCGGATTCGTCACGCGATCCCGCAGCATTCAGAACATCCGGAGGAGCGTCGGAGCATTTGGCGCGATGGCGCGATTTGAAACCACGCTGCCAAAACGCTCCCGAACGTAATCTGCACAACCGGCGATGAGGAAATCGAGTCGGCGAGATTCCTGCCGTAGCCACGGAATGCGCGGTTGGCAGGACGACACAAGCATACCGATAGCAGCAGATTAGTTGATTACGAAATGAGTGAAGCGTCTAACTGAGCGAAGAACTGAATGCTCAGACCTGACACGAGAGCCACGACTCATTTGTTAACTGATTTCGTAAAATAGCCCAAAATGCGCTTTTCCTTTGCTCAGAATTCAGTTTATCTAACCAACCATCAGAGATAAAATTAACAAAATAATATACTTAATTTATATTATATATAGGTACTAATGAACAAATATTATCTTAATGATGTTCCAATGAAACATAATACAACGTAATTTGTTTCAATTTATTAATTTTTCTCCAACTCTCAGATTGCTTCCCCGGTTTCCTCATTTTCTATATTTCTATACACATAAATTAAATTTCCTGATAAGAAACGCAAGCTACGTTTCGTTTTGATTCATCCTGACCGGAAACTCAAACGCTTGCAATGCAATGAATCACGCGCGCCGGCAAAATTGGAGAAGCACAGAAATGAGGAAACACGGAAATATTGGAAACGGAATCGCGCTGGATGCGCTGCCAACAATATCGCCATTAGTCTTCTTTTTCATTTTTCCGCTTTTATTTTCATATTTTGATGAATCAAGTTTAATGCGAAAGAAATCAAAGAACATCAATAACCGTAAGGAAAACGTGAGAAAACCCTCAGCTAAACCTGGAAATCATGAAAGAAATCGACGATTTCAAGATTTCGTGGAAATGGTAGGAATAAAATAAAAGAAACCTGAGTCAGGAACACATGCAGGTATTGTCTAATCGTACGATGTGTGATTGATATTTCAGTGGGATTGCGGGCAATAGGAAATGATGGTTTTCCGTAGACGAGTGAAAGAAAATTTCATACTCAAATGCCTGCGTTCCAAAACGAGATGTGTGCACGTGCACAAGTGGAAAAACCGGGCGCAAGGTAATCGCCCACTTTGCAAGAAAATCGCGATATCGCCTGCCTGGATAAAATCTTGCACGAGTGGAAAATCGCGTGCATTCTGCACAGCTGCGGTTCGATTAGTACGATTTGATAGAAAAGTACAATTTTGACATCTTTACAATCCATCATATTTTCCAGCAACAAATTTAATTAATTCTGCTCCATCATCAGATATTAATTCCAACCTTATTTGTCCCTTAACTGCAATATATTTACATTTACATTTTCTTAATCAGCTCTTACTCGAAACATGTTTTAAGGAAGAAGACACGACAAGAGCTTAACAGTGAATCTAAATCGCGTGGAGGCGCCGGGCAAGAGCGTTGGATACAAACGAGACGGCTCAATTTAAATCCTGCGAGGCGATTCGCTAATTCGCACGCCAGTTGGCAGTTTGTCCCCTGCCTGCAAAGAGACCAGCAAAGACAAAGTAGACGTTTCGCGAGGCTTACAAGTGAACGGCGCAGAGCGTTTGTAGCATTCACAAGTAGTCGGCAGCTTTATTGTCAAGACAATGTCAGTCCTGACTGCAAGAATATACCACTACTGGTTGTCCGAGCTGCGTTGTTTCAAGACGTTTGGCGTGTTTTAGGTTTTGCAGCAGGCGGCGGCAGGAGAAACAACAAGAGCAAGAAAACTACATAGAGTGCGTTTCAAAGGTGGCGAGCATAGCGACCGGAGAGAATAGGAGGTGAAGCAAGCACGTCGTATTATTCACTGTGTGTACTTAGGTGGTTTAATACCGAGTGTTTCCATAAACAAAAAAAATCCAGTAAAAAATAAGAAAAATTTAAATGTTTTTTTTAACTTTCTATTTTATTTTTAAACTAAAGATCATACCAAATACTTTACACTTTAATAAATCCTATAAATGGCATGACTCTGTAGATGTGTTTACATCCCAACCGCAAAATAACATAAGTTATTCTCCGCTCCGTCGAACTTTCGCTAAATCACCTTCTGCACAGGGCGGTTTCTTTGCTTTGGACTCGTTTCTGTTGCGGACCGAACGCGTTAGTTTATGTATCCCTCGTTTACGATTAAATCTGCGCGTTAAGATTGCCATTCCCGAGCGGATTTTTTCCGGAGCTCTTCGCCTGGCTTGGGAGCTTTAATTTCCATCGATAATTTACGTTCGCCTCGTAACGATCGCCGCGTCGGTTTAATCTGCGTTTCTCGTGCGCTTAATTTTTAAAATCTCATTGCCAAGCTTCAGAATTGTATGTTTTTTTTGCAGCAGCGGTACGCTCATTTGGAAAATTGCACCCTCGACGAATGCACAAGTCGCACAAACTGGTAATCAAGTGGATGAAATAAATCTTAGGGGCACATAAATAAAATACAATAAAACGAAACATAAATCGGCAGTATTATCAGTACGGATGAAAGAAGTAATGAAGAGCACGTCGTTAAAACCGTCAAGATTGTAAAAATCTGCAAAGTCGGATAAGTCCACAGCCGAGAAATTGTATTTTAACAATGCGTCATTAAAATGTTAGCTACGTGAAACACAATACTTAATGCGATTAAATTTATGGTCGTATTAAGAAAAATATAATTTAGTACATACAGTAGTATTAGTAAATACATAGTAGTAAATACATAAAATTAAGTTTTAGGTTATAAAAATCAACAGCCGTTTTATTTTATAGTATATTATAGGTATGACGGTATTGTCAAGATTTTAATTGGCTGGCGATTGAATAATTTCTTAACCAAATTTCGAGTTGAATAGTTGGAAATACTTTTTGTGCAAAAACGTATTCGTCCAAAACGCTGCTTCTGGTTTTGATAGGTTTTCTGTGCAACGTGCGCGATGTGACCGGAACGCTGAAGCACTCTAAAGACAATAAAGCTTTGCAAACGTGGCGGCAAGCGCGCGAGCACGAATGCGGCATAAATTTTAATTAACCCCAACGATCGAGTTATTCGGCTGGCTGGCAGGAAACACATCCTTTCTTTGGCCTTCAAATTACTCCCGTAATTAACCGAGATCACATTGGGAAACCAATAAATATGAACAAATTAACTCGTAATTAATGAATCTGTTTTATAATAACTCCAAAATACGTTTTTTTTTAATTCGTGTCGTCAGGTTAAAAGTCAACGTTTTTTGTTCGCCAAGTAAATTGGCAAATTTGCTTTGCGCAAAAAGAAAAATATGTTCCCGATACAATAAATGTAAGCTGAGCGCAAGTCTCGCCCGTAGAAATCCAATAAAAAACCGTAGAAAATTGCAGCCGAAGCTCGAAGCGTGACACATAAAAGCGAATAAAGTGCGCTGCAGAATCTCACGAAGCTTCGCAGCTTTCGCGAGCGGCAGTCGTCAGTCGACGCTTCATTATCGACATCCAAAGCGGCCCTCTCGACGCGGTCCGCGACGCAATTGCAGGATGTCGTTGGATCTCGTCGGATGGAGGAAACGTTTCTCCACTTTCTTGTCCGACGCTTCGCGCATTTCTAAATTGGAGCTCACGAGACGCGAATATGGACCAAACGACCGATATCTGTGGCCGACTTAGCCTCGTTTCGTCTCAATAAACCGACTCACTGCAGCACAAACTCACCTAAACTCATCAAATATTAAAATAACAAATCAAAAAATACATAAATTTCTTTCATCAATTATTAAAATAATATTTAAAGATAATAATCTTTGATTGCGATGTCTGATGAGTATTATAACACCTCGTATACTGTTATAGGGTAATTTCTTTTACTTCGATTTCCAGCTCGTGGTCTGGAGACTTTATCTAGACGTAAAAAAGCTTCATAGCTTCATCCGGCGCATTTTTCTTGCTTCCTTTGGCACCTTTGTGCCGAGAGAAAATCGTTTCACAGAGGATGATTGAACAGAGCCCACACATATTCGCACGTTCGTCGCGAACGACGCTCGAAGGTAAAAAATGCTAAAGCTAAATTACATCGAGAGTTCAGCTCTTTCATCTTCTTCCTAAAGTCTAGCCCTTACTTTTATCTTTGAGTCATTGGACTAAAAAATACTGTTAACCACGTAAAAGAAAATTTTAAAATAATCCAGGTACTTATTCACGACTCTTTTTAAAACGCACCAATAATGAAGTAATTTATTTATAAATATAATATAAATTTTAAATTTTAACCAGCAGGTAAATAAAATAAATTATATATGTTCATAACATACAATTAGGTTTATAAATAACTCAGCGATTTGAGGCAAAATCAATTCCAACCGCACTTTGATAACACCCACGCAATCCGAATGAATATT